AGGTATTTGTGCTCATAATCAAAAATCACAAAATACACACAGAAACCAAGCACCAAGAGTATGAAGCAGCAGAAACAGATTTAGACAGCATATTTAGACCCATGATGATTTCAGATCCTGGAATTATTAGCACACAACAGAAAGAAAGTACATCTAATATGTTACATAAATAAAAAGGAAGTGATTATTAAAAAGTAACTAAGTATGTTGATTAAATAATTAAACTCCTAGAAATGAAAAATATAATAATCAAATTGTAAAAGTTAGTGGATACATAGGTTTAACAGTAGCTAGATATAGTTGAAGAGAGAATTTGGTGAGCTGAGAAACTGAAATAGAAAATATGAGAGGTTAAGTGGCATGGAATAGACCTAGCATATATCTAATTGAAGCTTGGAAGAAAAAGAGAGAGAGAATTGGGAAAAGAAATATAGGAAGAGTTAATGTTTGAGAACTTTTCAGAACTAGTAAAAGACAAAAAATCCAACAAAAATATATTTCATGAACTAGTACAAAAAGAGAAGTTAATTCTCACAAACAAAAGACAAGAGACTTTTTCACCAATAGATCCTCACTAAAAGAAGTCTGGAAACCATGGTGGCGTAGTAGTTAAGAGTTACAGCTGCTATCCAAAAGGTCGGCAGTTTGAATCCACCATGCACTCCTTGGAAACCCTATGGGGCAGTTCTACTCTGTCTTATAAGGTCACTATGAGTCGGAATCGACTCAACGGCAATGGGTTTAAAGAAAGTTTTATTGGATATACTTCAAACTAAAAGAGAAATGACCCAAGGTGAAAGAAGAAGGAAGAATAAGCAAAGAAAGTGGGAAACGTGGGCAAATCTAAATAAATGCTATATAAAGTAATAATAATAATTATTTGAACATAAAAACCAAGCTAAAACTAAACTATGTGGCAGCACTAGCCCATGGGTTAGGAGGGGACTCTTCAGAATTAAAGTATTCTAAGGTCCTTGAATTGTTCTGACAAACAATAAATATAAAAATTTACTTTGATTTTCATGAGGTAAATGAATGTTACAATTTTTATGGTAATATATAAAAGAATAGAAATATTGAGTGTTACTTCCTGAGTAGTATAGGGGAAACATTAGAACGAGGGAAAAACAAAAACAAAGGACGGCAAGAAATGAGAGAAAAAATAAAGGCAGTAGGACAAATAGCACAAAATCTAAATGCTTCTATTAAAAAAACAGGTATTAGGCTGGATTTTTTTTTAAACCTGTCTATATATCCGTTACAAGATAGATAGCTAAAATATAAACAGACAAAAAAAGTAGAAAGCTGGAAAAAGATACACCATGCAAAATAACCAAAAAAGTTGGTAGTGCTTTTTCAATATCACATAAAACAGACTTCATAAGGAGGATCACCATAAAAGGTTTATTTCACCAGAAGATACAGTAATTTCTAAACTTATTTGTAAGTAATAACATACCTTTGAGATATATTTCCAAAAATTGACATACTTGGATAGGGAAATTGACACAATGGAAAATTTTCACATGCTTTTCTCAGTAACTGACAGATCAACCAGTAAAAAAAAGGGATTGAAGTGTAAATGTTCCTGATTTTAAAAATTTATTAGGAGGATATTATAAATGACTCTTTACCAGCATAGGGTTGCTATGAGTCAGAATCCACTCAACAGCAACAGGCAGGCACCGATAAATTTGTAAACCAATGAAATACACAAATTCCTAAAAACCTATAATTTAAAACTGATTCAAGAGGAAAAAGAAAACTTGAATAATCCTATAACAATCAGAAAAATACAGTCAGTATTTTTAAATCATCCCATAAAGCAGCACCAGGCCCAGACCATTTTTACTGACAAGTCTACCAAACGTTTAAGTTACAAATAATTTCAGTCTTACACATGCTCAGAATCATTAATGAGGCTAGAAAAAGCTTGGTGGCAAAACTAAGGATAATACAAGAAGGAAAACTAAAAACTAATCTTATTGACTTACATAGATGAAAAAATCCACTATATTTTTAAGTAATCATCCCAAGGAATTATTGTTAATTTTAGGTGTTACGATGATTTTGTAGTTTTAAAAGAAAATGACTACAATTTTTAGAGCTGCATACTAAAGTATGTAGAGGTGAGATCACATAAATCTGAAATTTGCTTTAAAATATACTTAGGGAGGGAGGGTAGATTGGTTCTCAGATATTCTAGAATCTGAATGAGAGTTTATGTTTCAGAAGTTTCAAATATAAAAGGACTTGAAACATTGACTTGATTATATATGATTTTCTCTGAAAAAGAGAAGAAAGAAAATACCTAGGTGACACATTATGAGGTATCAGAAACTAACAGCATACATGGACAGAAATGAGACAAAGTGGGGAATTCACTTTCTATGAATTTGATCTAGCCTCTGCCGGAAAGGCTCCAAAGAAAGGTACATTGTAAGCAATACAATGTGGTCTCTGGAGGCAGAGCAGGGATGAGCTCAAGATGGACAGGAACATTCCAGGAGGATGGATGAATTTCCTGGCCATCCTAGATGGAGAGAAAGTTCACATACTCACAGTGACTTTTACAGCTAGAAAAGGACCAAGTACTTGTAAGCAGTGGTCAAAGTTCACTTTGACTCCTGACTCCCTCCCAGGATCTAGTCAGATAATGTATGTGAAATAGGTCAGCAAATTGTAAGATAATTGAAGTACTATTTACAGAAGCAATTATAAATGCAAGAAGAATGAGGATACAGCCACTTTGGAAAACAGTGTGGGAGTGCCTCAAAATGTTATATATAGAATTAGCATGTGACCCAACAATTTTACTCCTAGGTGTGTAACCAAGAGAATTGAGAACATATGTCCATGCAAAAGTCTGTACACAAATGTTTACAGCATCATTATTCATAATAGCCAAAAAGTAGAAACAACCCAAATGTCCACATGTATAAACAAAATGTGGTATATCCATAAAATGAAATCCGAGTTAGCAATAGAAAGGAATGAAGTACTGATACATGCTACAACATGGACGAAACTTAAAAACATTATGCTGAGTGAAAGACAACTATTGTATGATCTCACTTATATGAAATACCTAGGATAGGCAAATGCATAGAGACAGAAGTACATTAGTGGTTGCCAGTCTGGGGGCAGGAGGTGGAGAGTGGGGAGTAATTGCTAATGGGGGTTTTTTTTTGGAGTAATGAAAATTTCTAAAATTAGACAGTGGTGATGGTCGTGCAATTCTGTGAATATACTAATAACCACTGAATTGTACACTTTAAAAGGGTAAACTTTATGGCATCTGAATGATAGTTTAATAAAGGTGTTATTTAAACAAAAGGGATAGGGGAAGGAGGAGAGGGTTTAACCAAAACAGTTTCATCTCATATCATTTCCCTCTCTATCACCACCACCACCTCGGTCCTGAAGTCTTAGATCAAACTTCGGAGGATGCATGATTTTTTTTCAAAACTAAATTGAGCACATACAGTGGTTTATAATGACAGGCACTACTTAGCCATGTGCATCAACACATTATTATTATTATGTTAAAGATGTTTTAGTGTATCTAGAAGTGTTTCTTTAATGTTTTTTATGCACGGGAAGGTACACTATATACTAAGACAAACATTTGACTAACTGACATTAGATACGAACCATACCTAACTGTTCCAACTTAAGTACAGATTTGACTTAAAGACAGGAACGGAACTGATTCATAATCTGGTGGTTACCTGTACGATAAATTAAGCTGACAGAGGAGCTAAAATGAAATAGTAAAAAGTACTCAATCCAAACTTAACAGAAAATCAAATAGGAGGGAAGACTTTCCAAATCATTTTTTGAGACTAGCATTACTCTGATGCTAAAACCGTATGAAGACATTAAAAGAAGTAAAAGCTGCAGACCTCATGTATGCCTCATGTAATTAGATGCAAAAATAATTCTAGCATATTGAATTCAGAAATAAATTAAAAAGATAATGCATCATGACAAAGTGGGGTTTATCCCAAGAAACAACCTGGATGTTCTTCAACAGGTGAATGGTTAAACTGTGGTAAATCCACACCATGGGATACTGCTTAGCAATAAAAAGTAACAAACGATGGATACACACAACAATGTGGATTAATCTCCAGTGAACTATGCTGAGTGAAAAAAGCTGATCCCATACTGCTTTTATGCTGTATGATTCCATTTACATAACATTGTTGAAATGACAAAATTATAGAAATGGAGAACGGATTAGTGGTTGCCAGTGGTTAAGGGAAGAGTGGAGTTGGAGAGAAGTGATTGTGGCTTTAAAAGGGAAACATGGTGGATCTTTGTAGTGATGGAAATGTTCTTCAGCTTGGTTGTATCAGTGTCAATATCCTGACTGTGATGTTGTACTATAGTTTTTGTGGGAAGCTGGGTAAAAGATACACAGGATCTGTTTATATTATTTCCTGCAAGTGCATATGAATTTACAATTATCTCAAAGTAAAAAGGTTAATTAACAAAGAAGTAAAAAAAAAAAAAAAGTGAGAAAATCTAAACAATAAAAAGGTAAGAATTGCCGTTTTATTTACCTAGCCACCCCCTTGAGTTCCAGTCACTTTTTAACCTGGATGATAAGGACGCTTAGCTGACAGGCGCCCTCCTACAGTGGGGCTAATGAGAGATCAGCCTGCCCAGGACTGGCCTCTCAGGCCTCCCTTCAGATTGTTCTATTTGCAGATTTTCCCCACTACCAGCAGTGAACATACTCAGTACTGCTGTACTGGCAAAACAGAACTATGATGATTTTTTAAATCCCCAAATCTAATTGTGGAAATTGCCACAAGTACAATCCCGTATGTCTTCCACGCCAAAAACGTAAGTGAGGCTCACAGACTTAAGAATTAAAGGACTCCTCAGCTCCATCTGCTGTGATGACAACAGATTACTTACCAGTTCAGTTGACTTTCACTCATCTTGTACTTTCTCTCTCCCTTTTCCTCTATCTTCCTTTTATTTTTCAGTGGCTGCTTCAACCCCCAATTCCACTGCTGGTGCAGCCATGAATTCCTTGACCTCTCTTGGGACTCTGCAAGGATTGGCTGGAGCCACTGTCGGATTGAATAATATTAATGCACTAGCAGGTACCATCAACAGTGAGTATTTGCTGCTCTGGTGGACAGCCTTCCCCCAAATTCTCCACAGAAAATGGTCAGCCAGAAATGACCTAAAAAGAATACACCACGGGGAGAACTAAAACTTGGGATGGAGGAGCACATGCTTTGAAAGGCAAAAGCTATCTACATTCATTTTGTCTTAAAAACAGCCTACCACTCACCACCCCCAGATTCTCTTCAGATACACAGTGTATGTACTCCTTCATAGTTTCCTGTGATTGACAGGTATTTTCAGGTTTTGGTTTTGTTCTGGTCTTCTGAGAGGCAGTGTGCTCTAATAGAAAAATAAACAAACTAGAAATCAGGAAGCCTGGGTCCAGGTTCCAGCTCTGCTGCCAATCAACTGTGAGATCTTAGGCAAATCACTGTCCCCTCTGTGGGCCTCAAAGACCCCATTTGAAAATTGAGGATGTTGGATCAGATGATCTCAAAGGTCCCTTCTAGCTCGACAGTCCAAAGATTCATGACAGTTATATAGGGGGAAAAATAACAAGGACTTGGAGAAAAGGAAATGAAGCTGAGTGGAGAGGAGCAGCTGTTGGAAGTCACATCATCTGGAATCTCAAAGCACCCGTAGACATGGGTCACTTTACAGTAGTGAATCTCCAAAGGAGTATCATTTTACCAGGACAACAGGTTGAAGTAGCTTTTGAGTCAAACAGCTAGCAAAAGTACACTTAATTCTGAAAAATTGGGACTCACTGAAGAACTCTAGGATCTGTCCTAAGAAGCCTACCTGTTTCCATCATTTTCAGTCTATGTAGGAAGTCATATTTTAGGCTTGTGCTTGGTATAGGCTACTTCAGTAGGGGAAACTGATCCTCATCCCACAAAGGAGACACCACTCCCTTTCTGACAATTCAGTTTCCTCCGGTCACCTGAGAGTAGCCAAGAGCAGGGTCATGACAGCCAACAGAACATTTATTGAGGTGCAGTTACCTACTGTACAGTCAGGCAACCTACCACATACCCATTTTAAGCATTAATAAAGGGATCCTTGGCAAGATGCCCTATTTCAAGCCATGATTCAATTCATAAACTGTTTTTAAAGGATGATCAGGCAGTAAAAAGTTTTTTAAAAGTAAAAAATCCCAGTAATTTTATAATTTACAAGCTCAGAAAAAAAAACCTTGCAATTTATTTGACTAAAAAGAACCTAAAACTCATTCAAATAAAGACTGTTATAATCTTGATAAGAAACTATGTTTAGAAGTAGGAAATTTTCAGGTTTTGTCGAATTCTTTCATTCAGATGCTCTGGGGAAAAACAAACAAAAACTTGGACTGAGTTTTGTCTGAACGTAGGCCAAAAAAAAAAAGAAGAAAAGAAAAACAGTTTTCCTTCCAGATATGATGGCTCTTGATTGGTAAATAGTATATGAAGTGGTATCCATGTAACAAGCCAAGATGCTTTATTCCAGTTAAAACTGCCTCCAGTTTTCATCTATACCAGCAGCCAAGTATGAGCCTTCATTGCTTTGACTTCTGTTTCTGGTACAGCTCCTCTTTCTGACCTTGTTCTGCAGAAGCTCGAACCCAGTTGGCCTTCACCTAGGTTGTGGATGTGTGTGTCTGCACACATCTCTTCATGCTGCTTCTCTTGCCCCAGGACCTAGTTCCCCTAAAACAAGGACTTTGATTTGATCGCCCGCCTGTCCTTGGTCTGCAAAGTAACAGGCCAGTGGGATTGGTTGTCCTCCTCAGCACGTGCTCATGATTGCTGTGTGTGTCGTCTTGTCTGTGTTGTCCAGCTCCTCTCCATCCTATTATGTTGTACATCACTGGGATTTTCCCATCATTACTGGAGAGGGACTTTGTTAAATGGCAGAAAAACCATGAGTAGTTCCTGCGTGGGGTCTTGTGTTACATAAATTTTGCTTCTGGCAAGGACAACAGGGTTAAATCGTCTTTGTTTTTCTTTAATCTTTTGTCATCAGGCTAATATAGGCATTTATTGTTTTTGATAAATAAGAAAGAATATTTCTGGTTTCAAGGAACCCCTACCAGACAGTATGAACCAGCAAAATGTTTAATTAAACCAAACTATATAAAATCATGCATAAAAGAAAATGCAGTCATTCTGATTTGATGAATGTTACTAGCACAGAGTCATCTTACTGTCTCAGCATTGACTTTGAGCTAATATTTGCTACTTGACTCACATGAAAAGCTAAGAAAACCTTCTTAAATAGAGTGCCCTCTTCCAGACCATTCTTCCTCAACAGAAATGATGGTAATTACCTGTCTTACTGGATGATTCTCAAAGAAGGTAGTCAACAAACAGTTACCTGGACAGAATCAGTTTCTAAAATTATTGATCACAACTTCCATATCATTGTTATATCCTACCCACTCTGTCCCAGGAACCATTACTTGCCACCATAGGAGAGTTTTCTGGATTTCTGAATAGAGCCAGTTCTTTTCCATGGACAGGAAGAAAGTAGATAAATGGAATCCACAGTTAATTCCCAAACAAGCTCACCTTATCCTAAGTTTTACCTTCTTTGCCATTGATTTCCACCCATCCACACACCCCTCTGGAAAATGAAGTTTTTGGTTAGTAGACAAGTAGCAAAATTAAACTGTTTGATCTTGATATCTATTTTATTCCCTGATACATTTCTTAATGAAGGGGCTGAAAAACAGTACAACATTGTAAAGATAAAAGCAAAAATAAGCAAGATCAGAAGTAAGGAGTGTAGGCAGTTCACCAATGGGGGCTTTCACTTCTGGATTATTTGATGGTCCTCTGGGCATGTTTTATATATTAATATTTGAATATTAATAGATTAATAGATGAAGAAAATACTTTTTACAGATATGTGCACCTACGAGTCTGTATCTGACTTTGTATGTTTAAGTGTATGTCAACTGACATTCTTATTTTCCTTGTTTACACAGCATAATTCTTCCAAATGGCTTACCATGTAGTGTTTAAAATGATAATGGTTTGACTACAACCAGCCACAAATGCCTCATGAATAGTGTTTATGGAAATATTTTATGTAAAGTAGAGAAAAGAGAAGATGTTTGGGGCATATTATTTTGTCTTGTCCCTCTTTGTTAACATTGTGAAATTACTGTTTTAATCTATATTCTTGGAATATGTAAACATATACACAGTTAGATCCATATGCATGGACACAAATCCCTGCACACAGACATACGTGTAAACTCCATGGATTATACATATTAGGATTCATCCACCCTGGTTCTAGACATTTTATACTTAAATTCTCATTTATCAGCTTGCAGCTTAGAAGGATATATTCCATCCATACAAAGGAAAACTTAACCCAGTTAAATAGATTACAAACCTATCAGAATATATTAACACATCCCTCACTTTGGGCTCTTTTTTTTTTTTTTTTCATTTAGTATAAAACCTAGCAGAGTGGCTTGCAAATAAATTTAATCTGCTTATGGGCTGTGCCCCTGATGCTGCCTTTTCTGTGCCCTTCCACAGTGGCCGCAAACAACGTTCACACTCATATACAGGGATGGGTCTTTCTGTGTCATTTTAACAAAATTATTATTAATCTCACAGCTCCTTGGGTCTCAGTTGAGGACCTTTGGAGAGCAGTTAAATTTAAAGCACTTAGTAATCAGTATATGCACTAACTGTATTTATAGGCCATTTACAAAGACTTGCCCTTGTTAAGGCTTGCCACACCGTCGTTTTGTTCCAGCCTTCCTCATCCAAATAGCATGCATAGGAATCTAGATTAAATGGGAAGAAATGGTTGATCCACTTGGCCTTTTCAAAGAAAAACCCTGCTCTTTTAAGCAGAAGCATTTTATTCACCTTTACTTTCCTCAAACCTCTGCTTCTATTGTCCAGAATTTTTAAAGGTAATCAGGCCGCAGCAACTGAACTGACAAATGTTAACTTTGATATGATTATTTAATATAGAATAACACCAAATAATTCACAGGAATAACTCTTAAAATTTGAAATCTTCTTTTGATGGGTCTTTAAATTCCTCCATGTAATCAACTACCTAGGGGGCCCTGGTAGCGCAGTGGTTAGCGCTTGGCTGCGAACCAAAAGGTCAGTGGTTCAAATCCATCATCCGCTCCTCAGGAGAAAGATGTGGCAGTCTGCTTCCATGAAGATTACAGCTGTAGAGACCTTATGGGGCGGTTCTACTCTGTCCTATGAGGTCGCTGTGGGTCAGAAATGACTCTTATGGCTGAGGATTTGGTTTTGTTTTTTTTTCAATCAGCTACCTAGTCTACCTTGGATTTGGCCAGCACACACTCCAGATTGTCCAGGATTTAGAAATACTGATTTTTAAATATTCGCAATGCAGTTGTATGTGTAAGAAGTTTTACCCTTATTTTTTGTTCAAAAGCATGGTTATACCCATGTGGGAGGCAAGCCCTGGGCTGAGAGGCCAAACCCTCCCTCTCCTACCTGCCCAGGTCCCTGATAAATCCTCCTGTGGCATCTGCACCCCTTTTACTTGGTGCCTCCTCTACCACCTCACAGACCCAGGCAGATAAGGCCAGCCATGACTATCTCCTAGGTGCATGGAATCAGCAAAAGCAAACTGAGAACCCTTCGGAAAGCAGATTCATCCTGAGGTGTAGTCCCAAAAAAAGCGGTCAGCCATTGTGAACTGTAGCCAAGAAGGGTGTGAGGACATGGCTGGAATGTCACTTGCTAGAGCTGCAAGCCTCATAGGACTCTTACTTAGTTCTGAAATATCCATCCAGTCTTTCAGGAGCATGGAGTTCATTCTGCTTCTGTGTTTCAGGGGATCTTTTTTTTTTTTTTTGGCAAAAGGGGTGAAGAGCTAGAAGTAGAAGGAGAGAATTCTCCTGACCTGGACGATAAAAAAAAGAGAATTAGTGGTTGCGGTGACCACTGTGATTGAATCCACCTGTATATCTAGCCCTCTGGAGAAGTCGAGTTATGGAGGCTACAAATCACAGGAAGGCACTCATAAGGATCTTATTTCAGGGCATGAAAACTCCAAGACCCTTAGCTGACAAGATAATGTGGAGATGTAGTACCCTCAGCCACCCCATTGAATGGCACGGTAAATACTAAAACATTTGTCTTAGTGGGGCTTCTGTCTTCAGACTGTGTTTGTCGAGCAGCTTTGCCACACACGGCTCTGTAGGCAGTGGTGCACACCTAAGAGCACACATCTTGGGGTCTAAGTAAAGAAGAATGGCAAGTCAGCACTTACGCTCCTCCTAGAATTTCTTCCCACGCTGGAATCTGAGTTCAAAGAGGCTTGACACTACAACTTGATCACCTATATCCTTGTTGTTAGGTGCCATCAAGTCAGTTCCAACTCATAGTGATCCTATGTACAACAGAAAAAAACACTGCCCAGTCCTACACCATCCTCACAATCGTTGCTATGTATCCTTACCTCTTGTTAATTAGCAGCTTGACAAAAGTGAAACCAACTGAACTTGTAAACTGTGCCTAGGTCTTTCCTGAGCTGTTTTACATACTCCTGTCATTTCTCCTGTAAAAGAAACATTGTTTCTTTGCATTGACACAAATATTGGGGGGTAAGGATGAAATAAGGCCGATAAAGGAAAAAAAGTATTCCTCACCCCTTTATCAGCCACGAGAGAACAGGGATAGAAAGGAAGAAGAGGCAGTTTGAGGTAAATGTGATTAGTTGGTGTCTGAGGAATTGTTTACAGCAATTAGGAGGACAAACTATTTACAAGTTTTTTAAAAGCACTTATTTGCATGGCCAGAAAAATAAAAAAGAGAGAATCGACTTTCTTTATCATTAAAACCTTAAAGTAGATTGAGCAGGACCTCTACTGGCCAGCATCTTTTTAGCTTAGTTTGTACTTGCCAGGTCTGCTTGAGATCGTTTTCTTTTTTCAGTAGGCTGTTAACCCATTCTCATGTCCTTCAGACTCTCCTCACCACCATCACCACCCCCAATCCTCTATCTGTCCTGAGGAGAATGTACTTGGTAGCCCATCACCCAAGTCCCGGTTCTATCTCCTCAAGCCCCTCAGGAAGGATATCATACCTGAGGCACTATGAGATTCCTCTGCCCTTAAGCCATGGCCTAATTCCTATCTTGCATGCTGTCCTTTTAATCTAAGAGATGAAGTTGTCAAAATAGCAGAAGCACTTAATGGAGTAAATAGAACATTCCCATCTCCTCTATTTCCTGTGGATGGCAGCAGTAACCATGATGGGAGTGTTGAGGTGAATCTGGTATTTGATTCCTCTGTGTAATTTCCAAGCATCCTTATCTCAGTTCTCTATTCTCATTAGTCTTCTTTCCAGTTTTCTTCACAGTCATCTTTGCGATTTTTATATCTCTGATCAAGAACTCTAATCCCTTCAATAGTTACATTAAGGCATTCAATAAGTTCTTCCCAGAAAAAGATCTTTTTTAAAAATTTTCTAATCATGAAGGGAACTGAAGACAATTGTGATGTCACCTCTTTCATTTCCTGAGTTCATAATGAAAGTTAACACAGTATAAAGTGTTGCTTATTTTGACTCAGTATTCAGGGAAAATGTGACATAGTCAGCAACCATAATAACACAAAACAGCAGCCAGGATACAAGGGAAAAAAAATCAGAAAAACATGCTGGCCAACATCCAGTTCACTTCAGCTAATAGCCAAGATCCAGCTTACAGACACGGGTGTCACTTCAGTTGACTGAGAAACATGACATGGAGCTCTTTCACTGGGAGAGACCCCAGTACATGTGCACTGATTAATATTCATGTGTGTGTGTGTGTTAACTATTAGCTACTGAAACTGCAGCATTCAGTTTCTCGCCTTTGATACTGAATGAGCAGCTTCAGTTCTCTGCAATTAGGGGAAGGGTCTGCATTTCTTCCTATGCCTTAATTCTTAATCAGCTAGATTATTTCTAAGATCCTAGTCTCTGAAAACATCCTGCAACTGTTGAGGAAAGTTAGTAAATGAAACTGCTGACTCATTGGTTTATAGTACAGAGCTTGTCTTCTCTGCCATTTCCTCATCAGAGAGCTTAAGGGAGAAGTTTTATTTTATCCTTTCCTCCTCAACTCCTTGAGCATCCCCATGACTCCTCAGAGAGCCCAGAAAACGGATTTGAGTGGATAGATGTTACAGGCCTCTGCCACTATTTTTTTTTAACATGCTTCCAAGCTCTGAAAAGCAGAAGGATTTTATTTCAAGAAGATTAAGCAACAGTACTTGCCAGTAGCACATTGCATGGAATTAAGATGTATTGTCTAACTGCAGTACCTCAGTGAATTTGATCACTGGCCTAGGGAGTAAGGGCTGTCATTGCTCAGGGTTTTTAGTTTTTTTACCATTGTTATGATTTATTATTTCATGAGTTCATTTTTAATTTCCTGTTGGTTTAATTGGTGTGCTAGCTGCATGCTCTTGCTGTTGTACTTGTGTCAAATGATTCTCTAACTTCCTTTGGAAAGCACTAATGAATAAGTGCTATTTCTCTTCTCTATTGTTGGGTTTTTTGTAAAGTTGCTCAAATGCTCTCAGGTATGGCGGCTCTGAATGGAGGACTTGGCGCCACGGGCTTGACGAATGGCACGGCTGGCACCATGGACGCCCTTACCCAGGCCTACTCAGGAATTCAGCAGTACGCAGCCGCAGCACTGCCCACTCTGTACAGCCAGAGCTTGCTGCAGCAGCAGAGCGCTGCAGGCAGCCAGAAAGAAGGTATGTGCCTGCCTCAGCTCCAGGGCAGGGCCTGGTGTGGCCAGCCCAGTGGGCAACAGTCTCCTTTAGAGTATTCAAAGACACTAAATTGAGCCAGTATTATAACCTTTGCTTGACTTGTGGAGCATATGGTATCCCACCCACTTTTTATGCCTCCGAGTTCTTTGGGAGTATACTTTTCCCAGTGTATTTGCTTCCCTACAGTGGGGACTTGTATAATGGTTAAAGGTGAAAGACATGTTCATTAAAGCAAAATAGCTGGAATATTAGGCAAAATCAGAGGTTCCCATGTACCCAAATGGAAGGCACCCTGCAATAAAGCCTGCTACCCAAGACCAGTGAGCCAGATAAGCTCCCACAAGTCATGAATTTTCATATATTTTCACATAATATTTCTCAAAATTTATATTACTAACCAAAAATTTAAACACACTCAATGACTTAGCATGCATTCCACCACTGAAAACACATGGTATCAACCAGAAATGCATAACAGAAAATAAGTGGGTCTTGAAAGAGTTTCATGGAAATCAGTGGGTTTTTTTACTGTTCATGTTTGTTTTAAGAAAACTGACAGGCCTAAACCATTGATTTCAATCTTACATCTTTCTTTTATAAGAAGTCTTATAAAAGTCTTTTATCTTTTGATTTAATTTTTCATAAATCTCTTAAGATGGATTTGCATGCATTTGTATGTTTATACGCCATTACATATTAGTTGCTGCCATCAACAAGTTGCCGGGAACCATCCCTCCCAAATCAGGAGGGGCTGCCTCTTTTCTCCCCCTCTCCCCCACTCCCCCACTTAAAAACAGGAACTCCTCATCTGTCCAGTCTTCTGTGGGTGAAGCACTCTCGCCTGCATTTCTTAGGTTTTTCGGCATCCAAATACCCTGTGATTACGTAGGCAATAGTTTTTAGGTTAATGATAAGACCTACTGTTGGGATTGACTTGTTTTTTGTTTAATTGGGGATCTTCTGGGGAAGCAAGTAAGTGATTGATTGCCTTGCTTCTCTCTCTGCCAATAAAGCAAAATAAACTTTAGGAAGTTAATGCTAAGAATAAATTAAAGCTAATTATAAAATAGTTAATGAGCTAGTCCAAATAAGGATAACTTTTCTCTTTTTCTTTCTTCTTTGTGGTTTCTTCCTCTTTAATTTAGGTTGCTTTGAAGCAAAATCTGCAACATGCTATTTATTCTCTTTCTGACTTATTTAGAAAATGAGAAAAGAAGTTAGAATAGAGAAGTACTGAAGCAGAATTTTTAAAAAGTTCTTTCCCTTCACTGCCTAGTTCCAAACTGCTTTTGTCTGAATACTTTGACTTTAAACATGGTGTTCTGTAAGAAATAGAACAGTTTTACTTGTAAAGTTGTAAATTTTAAGGGGACACAGCTTAAAAGATACTCATGTGTAAAAAAGAAAGGAAAAGGTTTTTCCTGTTTATAAACAACAGAGATCATTAAAAATGAAAGATATATGAGAATCTTAAGTTATTTTTCATCATTTCTACTTTCTCTTTACTCTTAGCTATGATTGTTATTGTAGGTTTTTAAAACATGCACAGCTGTTCAGACAACTGTGTTTCACCAGGCATGTGAAGGAGACCTTGCATCATAAACATCACATGTCTTCCCAGAGAAAAACCTATATTAGTCCCTTTGTCTCAGGTTTGACTACCATGGTGATAAAAATGTGGGCAGTGGGAGGGGTCCTGTAAAATAATGATATCCTCAGATAGAGGCCATAAAAGCTAATTCTCCCACACGTGTTTTAGAGAATGTTGGTCACTTCCCCATCGTCTGGTTGGGCCTTACAGCAAACTACATATAGCCTGTGTCACTGAGGAAACGTCCGCCACCAGAAGACTGAAGATTCACTGGTATGAAGATAAAGTCTAGGCCCTCAAACACATTTCTCTTGCTTCACCCCAGCACACTGCCCTAAAATCTCCTTGCTTTGAATTTTAGGGATTGCTTGAACAGCACTTACCCCCTCGAATTAACATAAGATAGTTCAAAATAACGGTTGCCCACTTCTGATTATTCATATTTAGATATTCGGGCTGCCCATAGCATGGTTAAGGGTTTTTTATTTTATTTTTGGTGTTTTTTTGTTTATTCAGTTTTTATTTTTAATCATTCCCCCATTTTCTCATACTCCTTTCTGATCACTGTCTTTTTGCCCAGTTAATCTGTGCTCAAGAAGTTCAAACCGTTTTAATATTAGTTTAAGTAAAACATAATTTAAAAGTCAAATTATACTGAGAGAAGGAGCCCTGGTAACACAACGGTTAAGCTCTCAGCTGCTAACCAAAAGGTCGGTGGTTCAAACCCACCAGCAGCTCCGCTGGAGCAAAGAACTGGTGATCTGCTCCTGTAAAGATTACAGCCTAGGAAACCCTATGGGGCAGTTCTACTCTGTCATACAGGGTCACTGTGAGTCAGAATCGACTCCAGGGCACACAACAACTATACTGAGAGGGGTGATATCCCATAATGAATTCCAGTACTAAATCAGTTTCTAGCTTTTCTGCTGCATAGTTCTGTCCTTTAGTAGACAGTTGAAAATTCACTTGATTAAATGTATCATGTACCCTGGTATATGTTTTTCCCAGAGGAAAACGAGCAATTCTGGCTTTAGAAAGAACGTAGTTTTAATTTTTTTCCCCAGCTAAATCTTCTGAAGGGTTATGGGCATCCCTGTAGATCTAAGTCCAGGATCGTTGATCATCCTTCTCCTTGCCACTCAGTATCCTCTAGCCTCTTCCACACCTTCCCATTGCCTTTATCTGCAAGAGACAAGTTATACACAGGTAGTTAGAGCCTTCAGAGAAGCTGGCAGAGCCATCAGTCTGCTGCAGCTTCATTCCCACGAACCACCCCTAGTGCTTTATGCTGGATCAGATGCCCTGTGAGAAATACAAAACCTGAACACCCCAACCAGCTGGGACCAATAATATAACAAAGCTAATTCTAACAAGTTAGAATAACTTGTACTAGGAGAAATCTGACTAATGACTGATCTGTTAACAAGTTTTTAGTACTACTTAAGGGAGAGGAGAGAATGATACACAGGTAGAGTCCTCAAAATATTTTTTTTCCCCTTGATATCAATGGCAGTAGCTGCCTTAATTGCCATAAAGGAAGTCACCTTTTTCTCATATTAATGTTAAAATTGGGAGGGGGGGTTGCAAAATCAAACTATTTCTTGGTGATTAAAAAACTGGGAGGTCTGCAGTAGGAGATGTTGTTGGCATTTGGCATTTTTTCCTGGGAAAAATAATGGACAAAAGCAGAAGGCTTCCTTTGGCTTGTTTACCTGTCTCCATATTTTCTTGGTCCCCCTTTCTGGTATGGGTACAGTCAGAAAGTACAGCATTCTAGAATGTCAGGATTATTCAGGCATAGTGAGTAGTCGCTGTCTTGGTGCATTAAAATTGCATTTTCTCTCCAGGCTTCAGGAGGTAAGATGTGCTTCACAGTTCAAATTGGGTCCCATTAATCCTCCTTTGTGCATTTGGATCTTTTGTTTAGAAGGGACATTAAATCCGGGTGGACCAGATTTGACCTGTATACATATTGCAAAGGATGTGCATGGTACAGTAGCATTCAGAACTCATTTTTAGTGTTTTATTTTTGCATCTGTTCACATTAGATTTTGAATTTTTAAGAGAGTTTTTTTTTTTGTCTGTTTGTTTTTTTAAACCAGTAAACATTTGGGGACCTAAGGCCTACAACTGTGTTCCTTTAAAATACAGACCGTCTCCCTTGCGCTGGAATGTGCATAACCTGTTGCTGTTGAGTCAATTCTGACTCCTAGTGACCTTATAGGACAGAGTAGATCTGCTCCATAGGGTTTCCAAAGAGTGGCTGGTGGATTCAAATTGCCAACCTTTCAGTTAGCAGCAGAGCCCTTAACAAGTATGCCACCAGGGCTCCACGTGTCCAAAGAAATTGTGAGGGGTATAGAAAGTTAAAGTAGCCATGTAGGTGCTTAAATAAGGAAGAAATGCTTCATCTCTATGACCCAAAAATTTGTCTCAAGAAGCCTTCTTTGTGAAAAATCCCATTTGTTAGAACATTTTTCTTTTACGATTTATTTATTTATTGTGGAAAGAAACTTGGTTGATTTTGCAAAGATGTTCTGTTTCATTTTTACAAAAAAATTTTTTACCCACATTTTATTTTTCTCCAACCCATATTCGTAGACAGCCCACCCCACACAGCCCTGCTGCTGTCGAGGGAGCCCATTGTAGCCTATTCCAAAGGGGCAGGCAGTCCTGGTTCTTCTCTTGTGAATGCCAGTTGAGGCTCCGTGAACCAGCTGCAGAAGTTATTTCACCAGACTGTGAGCTCCCATCCCTCCCAGACACCATGCCCAGGATGTCTGAGACACGTCCCTGCCCTTACTCTCTGTCCGGCTCTGGGATCTCTACAGAACCAACCAGAGAAGAACCTGCTACCACTCCTAGCACCCTTTGACCTCGAAAGCATTCTGGCCTGTTTATGTGCTAGCAGAGGATTTCCTTCCATCAGGTCTTTGGATTCCCTTTCTTCCTTTGCCTTTTTGCTCCTTTTAACTTTCAGATAGCTCTTGAACAGGTGGGGAAAGTTGAAGAATAAAATGGAGAGGAATATAGGAGAGCTTACCTTTCCAGCTAGTATAGCTAAGATTTCCTGTATTCTACCCTTGTTTCTTGAATTTTCTGGAAAGCAGTGGGTAAGATAGAGAGAGAGCTTGGCTTAGCTTGTTCTTTGATGAGCTTCTATATCCAGGGCACTCATTTGCAAGGCTAATTCCCAGTGGTATAATTCCTATCACAGTTGTGAGACTCCAGCTACCTTTTTTTTTCCCCCTGCCTTGACTCATTGCCAGCCATTTCTAATAAAGATGGTATTAGACTGTGTGTTAAGAGATTTGGCAGATCAAAACTGGCTGGATAATTAGGTAAATGATTGTGAAACCCAAGCAGCATTCCTGCTATATCCGTTATTCTAAATTACTGCAATTTGTTTAGAGAGCACAGGACACTCTCTCCTACCAAGCTAGTACGTACACACTACAAAATACGGCCATCCAGGAAAGTAGTGATTTTTGCCTGGATCCGCCTTCCCCATTCCACCCCCTACCTACCTTTACCCCATGAAGAGGAGATTAAAAATGTGTGTTAACATGCACTAAGCAAATGTGACCCACAGAAGATTATCAGTGGAAAAGAAGCCATTCTTAACCAATGTCTCTTTGGAAATGAGACCAGTCTGAAGGATAATTGCTTTCCTAAAAGTCATACCGGCACTTGATATTTATCCATCTGTTTGTTGTTCTCTTTTAGTATGAGGGAAAGCCAAATGCTTAGCCTATCTGTTGTTACAGCGTTCCGAAGAGGAGGCTTTCAGAACTAAGACGCAAGGGATACCTTACTCTGACTTTTTTTTCTCTTTAGGTCCAGAGGGGGCAAACCTCTTTATTTACCACCTTCCACAGGAGTTTGGAGACCAGGACATTCTGCAGATGTTCATGCCTTTTGGAAATGTTATCTCTGCTAAAGTCTTCATTGACAAACAGACCAATCTGAGCAAGTGCTTTGGTATGCAAAAGAAACCAAGTTAGAATATTATAGTAGGTTCCCAAGTGAGGAGTCATGGAGAGGAAAATGCAAATGGCAAATATTTTAGAAGTCAGGACAGGGCCTTCCTTGTGTGGTGATGGTTCCTAATTTTTTGGATGCACGTAAGCATATTTGGGCCAAGTTGTTTAATCAAAAAAAGGGGAGGGGTCGTAAAAAGGAAAGACCTGGAAAATAAAAGTAAATGCCCCCTACATTAGGTAATGTTGTTTATTAAACGTTAGGTAATGTACTATTAAAATGTCTTAGCATATATCCAATAATCTTTCATTATAGAGCAGCAGCAATTTCTTTAAGCCCCATATTGAACCACAAACGTGATCAGCTGGAAATACAGTTAACAGACTGTAGTTTAGACTCTCCTGATACAGAATCTTATGGCAGGTACTTTGCAGCTAGTTCCTTACCCTTCCTTTAATATGACTTAGACATAATGGTTAGGGGCTGACTGTTCAACATGTTGATACACCTACACGTACACGTACAAATATACATACAGTAAAACCTACGAAAGCCAAAACTTGTATAAGGTGGAAACCTGTCAGGAAGGAAAACTCAAATATTTTCCACTAAAACGAGCGATAGAAAATAGTAAGACTGCACCCTGTCAAAGACGGAAGACTTGCAAGACCTGGAAAAACAAGGCATTCCCGTCGAGTTTCTGCTCTCACAGGTTTCACTATACATTCACACTGGGGATGTGGTTCAGGCTGCCAGCCAAATCGCACCTCCATGTACACAGGGATGGGCAGTTCATGTATCTCATGGTTACGTAAAACACTGTATCGTGATCAGATTCAAGGGCCAGAATTTGGGATTATAGGATTGGCAGGGGCTGCGTGGATGGCCGTAGCACACAGATGTGTGCGGATATTATCAGAACATTACAAAGCCCAGCTTCCCAGTGCACGTGTTACCACACCATTTTTCCTCAGGCAGCCTGGACTCTGCATCCTGTGGCCTCTTTTGCTCCCTGAGAGAGTAAAGAAAGCTCACCTTACATGCTAATGTTTTACATCAGGAGGATGACATTCACTAAATCTATTCTTTATTTTTGGGACCATTTTGGCCCCCAAATTATTTTAGAGGCCAGAATGTTCAGAGTATATTGTATTCTCTTGGCAAACTCTGGCTCATTTTGAGATAGAACATTTGTCTTCATCGTTCCTGCACTTTAATAATTCATTTGGATAGTAGGTAGTAAAAGCATAAAACAAAATTAATAGAATAGATATGGGCCAGAGAAAACACAAATAAAATTGTATGGTGTAAAGGAAAGCATCAAAGATAAGAGGTGGTTCTCAAACAGCCAAAAACTGGTAATGGATAACAAGTCTAAAGAGAATATTTTGGCTTCTAAAACTCCATTATCGTAATGTCTTTCTAATTTCTGTGCTATCACCCAGGAAGGTCTGAAGCTCTGTTGTTAGGGAAGTTAGTATGTCAGCTATTTAAAGTCACTGTTTTCACCCTAGTGGAAAGGCTGTCAGCCTGAACCCATTACACTATTGTTGCTGCTGTGGCAACTATATAAACCCCCTCATAATGGTTCCTGAGAGAGTGAGATGAAAATTAAATTGTTGTATAGGCTGTGTGTGTATGTGTGTGTATGAGCTCACCTTTGGGAGGCTTCCCTGCACAAGGTTTTCAGCCAGAGCTTTATATTTCTCAAAGCTAAACAATGCCTTGGATTGATTTGGCGATTGGAAGAGATTGTGCTTCGTGGTTTGATTTTAAGAAGATATTTACTGCCTTGAAAAGAGATTATGTCTGCCCACAAACTACTTAACCAGTGTGTTTGTAATAATGGAAGCTCTGGTTATGAGTATCAGCAACCAATTGCATTTAACATTATGACTTTTTATTAAAAGCCTTACCACCCCATACCCAGGTTTCTTAGTGAGCCAACCTAATTTCTTGGGCGCCAGGTTTGCTGGTTATAAGGTGGTATCTCATTCTTTCATTATTACATGTTGACCAGGTTGCATTACACATCTCACCCATGATCCATTTCCATTCTCGTAATTATCTTGCTAGTTCTGACTAAAGACCCAAAGGGAAAGGAGAAAGTAAAATCATCCAAAATCTTGGGTTTGGGACCACATTTATTGGGAATTAGATTTAATGAAAATTTAAACAACCATTTTCGAAAACAGCCTGCCTCTGAGAATCTTTTCTGCCTTATACCATACGCCCATTTTTATCAGCTGAGGAGAGAACTCTGCTGAAAGTATATTTATATCTTTTTCTTCCTCTACTTTGTAAAGGAATTTTCTCTTTAGCTTTAAACTTTAATAGTAGATAGATGGAGAAGCTTAGTATAGAACTTTCTGAAGAGCTGATGTTCAGAACTGAAATTAAATCAGTATAATAGCTTCCTTTCAGCACCAAAAATTAGCAAGAACTGTACTATCTCAATACTTCGGCATCAGGATTCACTAAAGCTTTGCTTGTACTGCCCCCCTCCCATCCCCAATGTTAGAATAAACTGTATGACCAGAATTCTCTTGTTTCTGGGTCTTTGCAGAGAGCCATTGTTATTTGATACCTTAGTTCTTTTTCAAAACCATGCCCCACCTACTTTTGTTGCTACAGAGAAAGATGCTGGAACTCTAGTTAGGATGGTTGTTAAAGCTCTGAGCTGTTTACACTGTTTTTCCCCCAAGATCTCTTGGAGTACAAGGTAGTCATTTCCATTCTGTTGAATTCACTGGTGCTTTAAAAATAGAAACTAAGATTCAGAAAAAAGCCCAGAATTTCTATGGGTTCCTCTCAGTAATAACCCCAAAATGTTAAAAATCAAGAATAAGTTATTCTAAAGTTGATTTACTGACCCTGAGCAGGTGTGAGCTTAGTCTGTGAATATATGTAGAACCCCTGTTGGCGACCCCCTAGGGGCCCTTCCAGCCCCAGAATATTTATACCATTGCTTATATGAGCAATGCTTTCTTATGTACCTAGGGCTCCTTCTGGAAGGAGTCTAAGAGATTTTAGATATAAATGGGTTTGACTGAAATCAGTAAATAAAAAGACTAAATTCACTCAACTAAGTTTGAGATTTTAACCTGGGGGTGGGGGGCGGGTGGAGTTGTTATACATGATACCAAATTAGTAATCCAGCTCACTTTTTCACTGCTTTTCAGTGAACATTTCCAATTTTGCCCCTAAAACATGTCCTGTAGGCACACAATAAACTTAGTAGAGTTGAACTGAGACCATGAGATTGCCACATACCACTTAAAATTTCCAGTTATGCTATGCCAGTTATCCCATGAAGCCCTGGTCTCCCTTTTCTAACCCTTTGCTTCCTCTCCATCTTGATTCCCGCCCTCCCTGCTTCCCATTCATGTTTTCCAGGTTTTGTTAGCTACGACAATCCTGTCTCTGCACAAGCTGCTATCCAGGCTATGAATGGCTTTCAGATCGGCATGAAACGCTTGAAGGTCCAGCTGAAGCGCTCCAAAAACGACAGCAAACCTTACTGATCTTAATCCCAGAGGCTCCCTGCTCTTGTTTTAGCTTTCTTAGGGTAAGTCCCACGAGCCAGCCTGTTTTCCACAGGGAAGGCAGAGGAGGACCACATTGCCAACTTTTACCAAGAGAGACGGTTATTTTTACATTAAGGCCTCCATCCCCCTACCCATTCCTCCCACCCAGTTCGCCATAATTAAAACTTGGGCTCCCTTGTTTTTATCAAGTAAATTCCTTCTCCAGTTGTGCCACTGTATTCTCCTCTGTTTTGCGATTTGAATCTCCTTTTACTTTTTTTTTTTTTTAATATTTGTTTTGTTTTGTATTTTGCTTTTTTTAAAGAAAAATACACATAGACAAATAAATGACATCTTAAGAATTTAAAAGGCAAACGAACGCTAATGTGCAATTTTAACTCTGAAACCACTGATGCCCTGAATGCACTGCCTGGAGAATCCACCCCTCCTTGTCTGGGCCGCCCACACCATGAGGAGGGCACCAGCTGTTTAGAGGTTAATGTGGTGGCCTAGGGTGAGAGAAAAGCCAGGAGAAGCACTTACTCAAAACAAACAAAACGTCTTTCCACTACATTGGTTTGTTTTAAGAAGTAGGATTTTATTTTAGGGTTCAAAGAAACATGACATTTATTGGTCAGATTAATACACTGGTTGTCTATTTTGTTGTTTTAGTTTTTAGAAAGGATTAATGTAAAAAAAAAAAAAGATTTAGAGATCTGTTTCTTAAAGCTACAGGGTTTAAAAATAAAATAAAAATGAGTGAAAATACTTGATGTTTCTTGAAAGATAAATTTAATAATAATAAAGAATACATAAATAATACATAAATAAAAAAGAAAGCCACAGGCCTGTAAATTTTATTTGTAAAAAAAGCATTTCTATTTTTATACAAAATTTTTACTGCCTCAGAAATAATGGAAGTTATTTATTGCCTATTGTTAACTTATTGGATACCTAAAGAGCAGTTCTCTGTGCTAGCTAGATCCTTTTGAAGTAGTCTCTAGAGGAATTGTTCTAGGAATGGGCTTTTTTTCACCGTTGAACCCTAGACCTAAAGTTCATGCTTTCTCCTCTTGTTGTTTGTATCTGTCTGATTATTTTGTTTGTAACTTCCATTATCTAGTTTAAAGTTCGGTTGTCTGACTTTCCCCATATGTTACATTTGTTGAAACTGGATCCTCTCCCTGTCCCTTGCCAGTCCCTCACCCCAAAACACCCTGAATCCATCCCCTCTCACTCTCTCTGGATGGATTCCCTTGGGGTTTCATTGTGCTGTGGATAAAGACTGTAAGAAATGCAAATTACGTGAATGGCTCGTAGACTCCCTAATGACCTAAGATTTGCATTAATTAGTTTTTCTTCTGCACCCTTAAAAGTGATTTTGTTGCTGCTGCATAGATTCTGTGTAACTTTTTACTCTTCCTTGTTTTTTCCCTAGACATCTTCATGCCTGTTAGTTCATCGTTTGCCTAGCATGTCCCTGTGGCGTCTCAAAAAAAGTTTCATCGTCCCGTCATTGTTTCTGATGTCTTTCTGACCTCACATCATATTTGGTTCTCCTACTGACCTTTGATCTAGTTTGACCTTTGAAATTTGCATGTGACCTCATCTAGCTATGAATTCTGGGAAGTCAATGTGAAAAACATTGCTGCATTCATGCAAGACTGAAATTTATTATTAGACAAATTAATTATAGGAACAAAACCTGTGGCAAAAATGTTTCGTTCTTTTTTTTTTCTTTCTTTCTTTTTTCTTTTCATAAAACAGACTTGAAAGTATTATACAGGGATTGGCATTCTTCCCGGTCACTGGTAACAATAGCAATATGTGTCCAGGGACACAGAATGTTGGTTTCTAACAGACTACTTCCAAAAACAGTTTGAGAAAAAAAAAAAAACTGTCTGATTTTAAGTCTCTAGAGGTCTGTAATAGTTTTTACATTTTTCAGGCAGTGTAAAGTTTTTTGATAAGGCCATTTTAGGTGGCTCACTTTCTCATTAAGATATATATATAGAACCACTTTTTGTAGATTAGCATAAGAAAATATTTACCCTGTTTTGGGGCAAATGCTACCTATTTGTGTCACCTTTTGCTGAACTGACTCACAGTTAGACAATCCATGGTTTAATGCACATGAAATTACCTATATTTTATACTGTTCCGATGTACAGGAGAAGGGTCACTGTAAACCGCGTGACGTTGGTGCTTCTGTGAACTGAGTTGTGGTTTCATTGTGAGTCTTACGGTCTTAATGTTCTTTGTTGATGAGACAAGTTTAGAATTGGTTTACTTAAAACAGAAAAGAACTTCAAAAACAAAATAAAAACTTGTTTGCTTAAAAAAAATTTCATGTGAGGAAAAAAAAAAAACCTATTCCAGAATAAGTTTTGTGTTGGCTTGTGAAGCATTGATGTCTTTTTCTTCTTTTTTTAAATTGTGGACTATTTAGATGTGTTTGTGTTCAGCAAAATGTGATCTTTTTTTTTTTTTTTTTTTCTTTTAAAGAAAAAAAAAAAGTGAAAATATATAGTGCCAAATTCCAAAGGTACTTCCTTCCTAGAGCTTCAGTGTGTTTCTTGTGAGAAGTAATTTGATAACATGGGTATTTTATTATGTGTTTTGTATAAATCCCTAATATTTAAAAAAAAAAAAAAAAAAAGAGGTTAAAAAGTTTGTTAACTTGCTACCCTGTGGTCTTGTTGCCTGAAATTGTTATTGTTTGTTATTTCTCTATGATGTTTTTTGTAAGACATTGTATAAGTGCCCATGTCTCACTTTTTTAACCCCTCTGCACATCAATGCTGTGAAGGCAACCTCACAATGTATTTTCTTTATAATATATGGAAACCTCTAAGGTGAGAAAGTTTTGAACTTTTAACCCTTTCTACCCAGAGCTGTCTAGAATGTTGATAACTTTTTATACAGTCACCATTTTAGTTTGTTTATATCTTCTCCTCCTCTTTGGGATGTTTTTGTTTTCACTACTTTTTTGCCCTGCTACTTGGTTGATATCCAAAAGAAAAAAACTCCACAGGATAAATCTGAAGGGAAAAAAATATAGTTCAACACACTCCAATTATTTCCGTACCCTATTTTTCTTTTTCCTTTTTTTTTTTTTTTACATTTGATTATTTTGGATTTTTTTTTTTTTTTTTAATGTGCTGCTGGAATGCCTTCTTCAGTTTTAATTAAAAACAGTTTATTGGGTAAGCCCTCTAAGGGGAATGACAGGTAGATTCAGCACCTAAATAATCCTTAAAAATTCTGTTTGCTTTTGGGATTAGTTACCTGTTGTAGTTTAGAATATTTTCATATACCTTGCAATTAAACCACTTTGTGGTGGGGTGGTCTTTTGAGGGATTTCACTTGTTTCTTAAGTACTCCTAAATAATGTTTCTAATCAGACATTGTGCTGGGAATTCTCTGACCCCAGTGGATATTTCTGATAAGCAAGGTATCTGAAGGTATTAGCCAGTAGTCTTTTTTCCTGCCTTTTTTTTCCTATTTTTGATTGAACGCATTTAAAGGAGACTGACCATATAAGTAAAACTCAGTTCTTCATCCCAGTTACTGAACAAATACCTAGCACCAGTTCCTGTTGCCACTTTTTAAAGTGCCATATTACATTGACTTTGACTTTACATGAGTAGATATCTTGTGGTTTTCGACAAACCCTAGAACCCCAACACAAACTCAAGCCTTCCTGAAAGCAGGCCACTCTGGAAGCTTCTTTGTCTCTAACACAGTTCAGAAACGGATGGCTTCCCTCTCCCTTCTCCACCTCACCACCCTGTTTAGTTTAATATGTGTGTGTGGATGTGATAGCCCTGGGATGGAAAGGACTAGCCTCTAATGATGCAAAAAACAAAAACAAAAAGTTTCCTTCTTATAGCACATGCACTTATAATGAAATGATTTGTATTATCCTCACACGTGTTTACTACTCCTGGGGCCTTCCTTCATCCTTGAGGGCTATTTTGTACTTCCTGCAGCCATCAGCTTAACAACAAAAGTTACCACACACGTCTCTCTCATATATATGGTGGTGTGTAGATACGTACATAGAAACACAAGAGAATACCATTGAATTTCTTAGATTTTCATTCAGAATATCTTCATTTATTATGTAAATCTCCAAAAACAAAATTTTTTTTCCCCAATTTCTTCACTAAAGCAAATTACCCCCTCTCCTGCCCTCTTGCTCTCACCCACCTGCATCACCCCCAGAGGAAACTGCATGCAGTTAATAGGAGGCTCAGGGTAGGCACTTTGAGTTGAGTGTTGCTTATTCTGCAGGCAGCCGAGACCGTACATTTAGGGGGAAAGTCCATTCCTTTTTTGCCTGTTTCACTGTCAAAAAGATAACTCTCCTAAGAGAAAAGTTGTCCTTTTATTTGCTTTATCTTTTCATATTAAAAGGAAAAAGCTGCAAGGGTGCAAAGGGCCTGTGCCAGAAGAAAAAACACAGGGAAATTGCTTTTTTTTTTTTTTTTTTCCAAATCAAGTGTATCGTCGTTTTTAAACTAGAGAATTGTGATAAAATGGCAGTCCTCAAAGGCATAACAAGTTCATCTTTCTTTCACCATAGGGGTTATAGTTCTTTGGCTTGTGCTACTCTGGAACCATTTTACTGTTTGTTTTTATTATCTTAAGTGCTAATTAACAAGAAGAAATAAAATTTTAAAAAAACCTGTAGTTTCATTACCTTTTTGAATAATGTCATACAAAAAATGTATTTGTTTTTTTGTGCCGTGAGAATTGTTGTTTGTAGATTAATAATATCATTTTGTTTAGAATTACAAATAGTTTTTAAATATTGTCTGAGAAAAGCCAAAGTTAATGCAACCTAGTGGAAACTGTAAGACCATTTGAGTATTGTTTCTGTTTTATTGATGCATTTGGATTTTGTTGTTTGATGGAATTTGAGCCAAAAACAAAAAAAAAACGCAGGCTTTCCTATTTCTACAACTGATTGTACTTACGCATTTTGTACCAGTGGAACTTTTTATACTGGAGATTAAAAAAAATGGAAAATTCTGTGGCTTACTCTAGTGGGCCCCCTGACAGTGACTGATTTCAAGTTTGATTTCTGGTTGACAGAAAGAAAGTTGCTTTTCTTTTGAGAATTAAAAACTTTGGCTTGATTTCTTTTTTCCCTTTGCTTATATCTAGCATTAGAATTTTGTCTTAAAATACAGCGGTAAGTTTCACTTTTTATTCTGTATTGTGCAGTTACACAATAAGGTAATTAGATTTAGAAGTACTCAGTCACTTTAAGTGGATAAATGTATTAGTTAAAACTTTAGGGGTTTGCTTTTTTGCTGTTTAGATCAAAGTTTTTTCTGACTCTCTTCTGTCCTCATTGTGAACATAACCGTGTAGTTGAAACAGTCAAACTTATTTTTGTAACGTATGTTATTGTGTGATGCGGTTTTTTGCTTCTGTCTCCAATATTAAACCATTTTCCTAATACTTGTTTCTCTCTCTGCGTGTTGTATTGTTGGTAGTCATTATATGTTGGTAATACATCTACACACCTCACTGTTTCCGTATCTGTTTTTTTCCTATATGTTGTGTAAAAAGATACAGTCGATTCCACCTAAGTGAATATCTGATTTGGGGGAAGAGGAAACTGCACACCAGCCACCTTTGATTTATGTACAACAGCCCATTTTAACCACTGCTTCCAATATTTATACTTTTTTCTATGGTTCACTGAAATAACTGCCTACAGAGTTGGATTTGCCAAGACCTTTTATGGTCTTTTGACAACACAGGTTAATTTAACCTTCTCTTCTCACCTCTTCATCTTCCTCTTCCTCCTCCTCCCCTTCTCCCTCTCTCATGGGTATGTGTATGCCATTCTTAACATACAAGAACCTGCTGTATAACCTTAAGAAACCTAAGAAGAGATGCAGCAGACCTGGGGTTTCTTCTAACTACCCACGAATTCAAGGGCGTGTTATTATAGTCAAACTCTTCTTAGACACTAATCACATTTTTAAAAGAAGTAAGCCCTACAGGGAAGAAAAAATAAATTTACCTGGTGAACAGAAAGTGTGAAAAGGGTTAAACTTAAACCTAAGTCTATGTGTTGCCATCAATCAATGGATATGTATAGCAAAGTAATTTAAATTATTTTTAAGAGCTAACTGAATCCAGGAGCAGCTTTAATTATTAAAACTAATGGAGGAGAAAAAAATATTTCCAAGTGCTCAAATGGAAGTTCTGCTCAGTCTGGTGTGGGTGGGAGGTTGGGAGGTGAAGTTTCTCATGCTCACGTCTTCATAGCGTATTGTCCACTTCCAAATGAAAACTAATAACGCCATATTCATCTACACACTCCCTGCTGGCTGAACCTATGTTGAAGAAAAAGCCTTGCTCCCCGCAATCACCCCAACCCTAGTTACCAAAAAGAAAAAAAAACTATTCCTTACATGCCCTCTGAAACTTAAGCCACAGGCCCTCCTCCCTTTTCTACCCATCTCTTATGCTCAGGAATCTGATTGCTCTCAAAGTGCTCTTAAAAGATTCCATCAGTGTTTCCTCCCTGTTTTCTCTTTCCTTCCAGTTTTCAGACGCACAAGCTCTGACTCAGGCGACCTGGCACCTGGCAGCCTTCCTCCGGCTGCCAATGAGATTGTCCCTGTAGGTGCTCAGGCCCTTTACCCTCTGTTTTCAGCAGCCTGTCTGGCCCCAGATTGTATTTTCTAGTTGGCTCAACAATAGAGGGGCCTGATGAGGTGGAGGAAAGGAGGCTCTTTCCCCCACAGGCTGAACACTCAGTGACAGTGATGTCTTACCAGCTCCAAACCTGCACAGCTGGGAGCTGACTTCCTGCCAACAAACACTTCTGCTTTAAATCTCATCATAGCCTTCATCAGTTTGCCTCTGAAAACCCACTGCTTACATTAGTGGGGAAAGATGGCAAAGGGTGTGATTTCTTTCTTGTCGCTTTTTTTTTCCCCCCTCTAAGTTGGGGCGTGAGGGAGGGGAAGGGGGGAGAGAGGGGTGATCAATTCTCTGCAAGATGCAAGTTTTGTTTTTTTTTTTAATATAAATACACATATCCATTATACTTGTGCTAAGTAAAAGAAGGGAAACACAAAGCCAGTTTTTGTTGTTGGTAAAAAGCAACAAAAACAATAATTCTCCAAAGAAGGGGACAAAAAAGCTAGTTCTCTTAAGCACTTACGACTGTAAAGTTGGTCCCTGCCTAAATTCCTACTTACAATTTTGATTCTGTAAAACACCACTGCAGTGTTAGCAAGGTGCATCTGTTTGCCTCGCACGGACCACCTTGGGAAATTACACCACTGTCACATTTCCCTTGCTGATGGAAGCCATGAGTCTGCCAAGCCCCAGCAGTTATGTGCAGTCCATGGGCTCAGGCTCTTAGCTGGCAGGCCAGGAAACACAGTAAACACAAATGTACTGTGAATCGTTCCTGATAAGTGAATAAAACATTGTGACCGAACAATCAGCTTATTCACTTATCAGGAATCGACTGTTCTGCTAATTCGCTGTTTTTGTTTTTCATCTCTGTTGTAGTTCACTATTTTTGCTGTGTTCTGTTTTTTCCTCTCATGCTTGGACAAAATCACTGGGAATATTATCTTCATGTGACCATGAAACGTTTATATCGAGTGAAAATGATATCTTAACAAAATCTATGCACTTGCTATCAGGAACACAATACTGGATGTGTCTTATATATATTGAACTATATAGTACTCGATTTCTTAAATAAAGCTTAAGAAAGGATTCTGTTGTGTGTAAAGTTAATGTGATTATTTTTCAAAGCAGTGTTTCTAAGGGTATTTTTGTTCTTTCAAGTCTTAAGTGATACAGGATATTTTTCATTAAAATTATATCACTGGCTTTATGACTTACTATTCAATAAATTGACTTTGGAAACAAAATGGAGTGGGGGGTTATTCCTAGTACATTTTAGTAAGAGACGTGGAAAACTTTCCCCTTGCTGTTGACCATGGCAAATCTCTGCCCAGGGCTGAGGCACTGGTGCTGTGGAAGGCAGAACACAGCAATCCCTGCAGTGCCAAAAGACCCGTGAAAAGCATCCAGAGTCTGCCCTAGCCTAGAAAACCCAACTGCATTACTGAATACGATCTCTTTAGGCTCAGAAGAGAGGAGACAAAAAAGAAAGACAGATCCAAGAATAATGCTGGTTTGCGTAAATGCTTTGCCAGAATGACGCGACACTAGAACTGTACGCTGCTGGAGAGCAATGGTAGTTCTATTCAAGACTGCAAAATGAGAGAAAGCAAGAAAAAGTATTTGATCATTCACGATGAGAAGGGTAAGATTTCAAAGCAATACATGAGAGAGACATCCTATAACAGTTACAAAGCTTGAATAGGAGACCTGCTGCTTGGCCCTTTGAAAGAATATTTTTGAAATTTTTCCTAAAAGCTTTAAGTGTGAACAGAATGTTTTTGTTGGATTTCTTTTGCTTTGGGGTTTTATGTTAGGTTTGTTTTTCTTGCTTAATGTTTGATTCTAAGAGAAACTCCTAGACTTCTTCTACTTGCAAATCCTTTACAGAACAAATCATAGCCATCCCTGGTAATGAGGGTCAGAGAGAGCATGATTAATGAAAAATCCACAGATAATCCAAAATTATTATTCCATTTTCTGCTTCCTCCCACCTCAAACCTCCAACTCATAAATTTATCACCAGAAAACAGAACAAACCAAAAAAACTCGTAGTGAAAGTGAGGGATCAAACAGCCAAGGAGCAGGGAAAGTAGCAAAATCAAAGGGGCTAGAAGATTGCATCTGTTGGAGCTAGGCAATGTTGGAGAACAGGTTGTGTTTAAAAAAAAGGTTAACATTTTGAAAACCATTAGTCTACAGGCTCCACGAACTGGGCTGAGGTTTTGAAGAGCTGGCTGCACATGGACACGTTCTAGGAAATATTTGCCTCACACATCAGTCAAACGGCTAGAAAGGATCCCTTTTTAGAAGAGAATACCTTCAAGGCAGTAATGACTAGGAGGGCTCTGAGCCTCGATGAAAACAGAAGACTGGAACCAACATATTCCCCTCTTGGTCTGGTCTGCAGCTCCAACTCAGTGGTACTGCATGCCCCACAAGCCAGGGGCTGCTTGCTGGGAGATCGAGATCCAGCCTCAGAATGAAAAGTCTTTGTCAGGCGGGAGTTGCTTTATGGGAAACCCGTACAATATTTTAACCTGAGCCTTCACCCAGAAATCTGGGAGTCTACTGGTCAACAAAGCAGCCTGGCACCAACTACTACCGGCCTGCGTCAGAAGGACGTTTCAAAGAGGAAAAAGGAAAAATAAACACACAAACATGTCGTCTGCAACTGGTCAATTACAGTTAAAGCCCCACATAAGAATCCCCAGTTTTGAGACACTGGATGGTCCTTCTGTCATGAAGCTGGTGTGAAAGGCATGCAAAGTGCTTAAGAACATTCTCGGGGGAGTCAGACTACCTCAGTTTGAATGCTAG